TGTGTTTCAAACAGATTCATTGTCAAATTGTGCTCTGAACCTATCATTTCTCCACAGTAAGAAAAAAACGTTAATACCTGTTTGCTCAGCCCCCTCCTTCCTCCACCAATTGAAAATAAAAACTCTTATGTTCTGGATTTGGGGTCTAATCCAGAGCTCTAAGTAACACATGGAACCCTACTCTGTGGATGGGAGGCATGTGGGCCTCGAGCCAGTTAAAATAAACAGGCTTCACCTCATAAAGGCCTATTTATCTTGCACGGTTTTAGGGAACATGAACAGATTTCAGCAAACTCAATCTTGCAAAAGAAAGTGTGAGCTGAACTTAACATTCTATGATAGTAGCAGATGACAAGACAAAATGTGAAAACCACGTTGCTGATCCAAACTGTCTAAGAAAAACCCATGGGAAGAAAATGTACTGGTGCCGGCTTGGTTGACTTCCAGTAGATCACACTTTTCAAAAATAAAAAGGCATGAAAAGAAAATCTTCCTAAACCAGGTGGCATGTCCTAACCTGATAGACTTTTGCGTAATTAAATAATCTCATGCCAGTTACCTTTGAATCAACATTTATTTTTATTAATGATAATGATAATGAAAAAGTATTGTGTTTAATCATGTGGAAGGCATGTTATCTATCTTTCATCTATTTTTTATGCATCTATGTATCTCTCTGTCCATCCACCCATCTATTCAATAAAAGCTACCTTAGGAGGTAGATACTGTGAGGATCCATTTCGTAGATGTGCAGACTGAGGCCCACAGAGGTTGGGTTGTCCGTTGTTGACTTAATAATGTACTTGTCAGCTGAAGGGCTGAGAGTAGAACCCAGCAATGTGGTGCCAGAATTGTGCTCTTACTCCCCACACTCTCCCACAGTAAGGAATGCAATGACTGCCTCATTCACAGAAATGTAAACATACTGTGGTGGGAAGTAACATGAAAAATTACCTTCTCGATTTGAAATTCACATACTGAAGGATCAGAAATTCCTGAAGGAACATAAAAAAGAAATTTTACTCATCTGACACTGGATAAATTTAACTAATTATTCAAATGTCTAATGGCTCCTTTTTTGTTCTGAAATCATTGCTATGGGTCATTTATCAAATATTGTGGAAAGGTAACACTTGGAGTAGGCTGTGAAAAAAATGTATATAAAATAACTGATCAATCCAATTTGAGGGAAGAACTATATCAATACACAAGTGCATTACAATTTCCTTATTATGTAATTACCTAAGAGGGGATAAGCAAGAGAAAGGAGAAACTTTAGATTTGTTGTTTTCAACCTGACTCCAGAGATTAAGGCGAAAGAGAAAAGCCATTATTAGCCCGGTCCTAATCGCTGTGACCAGAAGCTGAGGGGGCCCCCAGCGGGCGCAGCCAGGCGGGCGGGGCTGGTTCTTGGCTGTGGCCCCTCACGGGTAAGGCAGGAGGCAGCCTGCCTGGCTGGCATGGGCAGACCTGCAGGGCCTCCTGCATGTCCCTCACCAGGTGTCCCGGCAGGCAGCTCTGAACGTCGGGCAGGCAGAGGGGGACCCTCAGAGCCTCGGGGAGCAGAGGACCCCAGCCTGGCCATGTCTGGCTCTGACATGCAGAGGGCCCTGGGCGCCGGGGCAGCCGGAGTGGGCAGCAGCCGGAGCCTGTATGACCCCGTCCTGCTGCCCGGCCCGGCCCCGGCACGGTGGGTGCAGTGAGTGTCCCTGCTCCAGGAGGCCGCCCAGCCTCGGGACACCATCCTTCCAGCCCAAGTAACGCTGACCTCTGACGTGAGGAGGAGGCAGCGGATACGAAACAAGTGGCCAACACACAACATGTAAATCTGCACACAGAGCTCTCCCTGCTTCACCGCTGTCTCCACCGGCGGAGCTGCCAGCAGAGGCGGCCGGCGGCTGGGCCGGCGGCGGAGCGAGTGGCACTGAGTCGGGCCGGGAGCGGCTGCGGGGGAGTGCGGGAGAGCTGCACCTGATTCACAGCGTTTGTCACCAAATACCCTTTTGAAATCCAGAATCTCTCTTCTGTCTTTAGTTAAAAACAACAAAATCCTTTTTCCGCTGTTAAGGTTTTTGTCACAATAAAATACTCATCTTCCTATACCTTGATAAGTGCACCAGGCAATTATGTTTTGATTTTACATTAAATTGGCTTCAAATAATCTCCTCATTCGAAATGTGTGCTATTGTTTTAAAAACCATAAGAATGTTGCTTACTCATTTGACATTTGATAAACTGTCAAGCTGCTGAAAGTTAGTAGCATCATGAAGTCTTCCAATCTCAGGGCAAGAACGCGCGCCGTGTACAGACCAGAACAAAGCACCGACGGCGGAGTCCACGAGGACAAGGAAGGGATGCCGGCGACAAAGACCTTCCGGAGCCACGCTGCCACCCCGTGGCCGCAGCGCTGCCCGGTCCCCCGGCGACCCCTCCGCGGCCCAGAAGCCCTCCGCGCCGCGGCCACCCGCACGGACCCGGCCGCCGGCCTCTGAGCAGCCCGGGAAGGCGGCACCGGTCGGCTCCCCGCCCAGGGGCCGGCTGAGTGGCCTTGCGGATGCATCCCTTTCTGCTTCTCAAAAACAAAACGACCCAACAGTGTGCACTGCTCCTCTCCACGCCAGGCATCTCCCAGCCGTGACACACCGCCGGCTCTGAGACTGCGGCCTCCAGGGCCTGCGCTCTTAGAATCCCTCCACACCCCACCTCCGGGAGAGCAACAGACTTACACCCCATCTTAGGACCACTCCGCCTGGGGGTGCTGGCCAGGGAGAGAGCACTGCAATCTCAGAGCCAGCGTCTCCCAGAGCTTCCTCCACCTGCAGCCTGGGTGCTCCTGGGTAGGTCCTCCCAGGACCAGGTCCTCCCAGGCGGGTGCTCCCAGGCGCGGTGCTCACAGTCCACGCTGAGGACACCACCTGTGCACGGGGCCCCTTGACCGCACCCACAGGACGCCGGGCCCCGCTTCGGCTGGTGCGGGAGGAGCGCCAGTGGTGCTGCTCCGAAGACGACAGGGCCTGTTCCCATGGGCTGTCCTGCCGCAGGAAGCACCTAATGAAGCGCCGGGCAGAGGGACCATCCCCTGGCGCCTCTCCGCCTGCCAGTCTCTCGAGGTGGCCTCACGCAGGACAGCAGAGGCAGCGGCTCCCTTCACTGCCCTCACCGGGAAGCCAGGCCCACGCTGTGAGGAAACTGCCAGAACGCACATCAGGGAGGCAATCTCCAGATCACCACCAATCACCACTGGAAGAGCCGTTTAGTCTCAGAAGACACTCACTTCTAACCTCTCAATAATTCAGTCTTTGCATGGTACAATAAATACCAATGGAGTAAGCTAAAAGCTCTAAAAATGGGAAAATACCTATTTTTCCCATTATACCATTCCCCATATATCTTGAAAAAAAGAGAAGATAAAATGGAAATTTAAAAATATTTTTGTAAAAGCATAACTTTTTTCTTGCATGATGATGTCTGCACTAACTGAGGGATTCCAACTATGAAGAGTCAAATGAATGGTGAGCCTCAAAGGGGGATTATTTGTCGTGAAAGCACTGGTGCTACTACCCCCAAGGACGCCTGGGAACCCAGCCCACAGGCCTCCCTGGCCACAGACCCCCCCCCCCCCACCGCTGTGCACAGGACTGAGCCTGACAGCCTGCACCTTCTCCCGCAGCCTAGGGACCGCTCCACCCTCCTCTCCCTGCACAACCTCCGGACTTAAATCCTGCCAGGGGCCTCCACCTTGGCTGCAATCCCATAAATCCCAACTGCCCTCACGAACAGTCTGACACTCGGCATTTTCCATCTCTCTTCCCACCCAGAAAAACGAAGTGATTTTTTTCAAAGGGTTAAACCTCCTTGGTTTTCAAGTTGAGGTTTTTGCAAAATATCATCAACCTTAACATCTGTAAACTTCTCTCACTCACTGGATAATAGTTGCTACTTTTCAAATACTGTTTCTCTACCGCCCACTCCCTGCACAGCCCTGAGCACGGTTTCCAGAAACTCGGAGGAAGTCACGGCAGCATGGCCCTCGCACCTGGACTCAGGCACTCTGCACGTCAGTCTGTTCAGAGAAGCTGCTCACTGAGCAACAGGTCCTGCTGGTGTGCAGACACATGCCCCGCAAAGTGGCCGGGAGCTGGGAAGGGTCTTCTGAGGTGTCAAAGGCAGAGACCACTGGCCCGGAGCTTTTCTGGTGCCCTCTTGCTGCCTCTCCGTGCTGTGCATGGACAGCCTCTGGAGCCCAGGCGGCTCAGCTACCAGCGCTCGGTGCCAGCGGCGCCAGCAGGCCACTTTGGCAGACGTCTAAGTCCCTGCCCCTAACTTCCCTTCGGCTTTGCGTCTGTCTGTTTCCAGAGCTGTCCAGGCAGAGCCCAGGACAGTCTAAAACCTCCTTGTTTTGCCAGAGGAGTGTGAAATCAAATTAAAAACACACCTCAGAACTATTCCATTGGGCCACGTTGATGTTCAGGACGGGGGAGGGGAGAGGACACACAGAAAGGGCCATGCCACGTCCTCTGCGTCTCAGCCCGGCCAGGCATTAACTCTAAATGGAAAACGCCTCTGTCTGGTCAAGTGTTTTGTCACCAAGCAGCGCAGTCACACAGAGCAAGTGCCCTGCCCTGGAGCCGCTGTTAGCCTCCTTTGTTAGCCTGGACCGGAAAGGTTCCTTCCCGGAACAATGCCCGGGCAGCGGGGATGCCAGACGCCGGTCCCAGACCCTGGGTCCTGGCTCCTGGGCAGCTGGCTCACCCTGAACGGGAGCTGAGCAGCCTCCGGAGCCCGCGACAGCCTCTCCTGGCGGCAGCGGGACGCGCGGCTCAAAGCATCCTTTGTGCGGCGGGATAACGGACTCGGTCTGCGCGAATCCATCACCGGGATGGAAACGCGCGGCGAGCTCTGCCTGCGCAGGGACGCGTGCAGGCGGCGGCGCTGGCAGCCGGACCCGGGGACTCCAGCGTGTCAGGGGCGGCCCATCGGGCAGGCGGCCCCGGTCTTACCTCCACATTGAAATACTGCTCGGCTCCGCAGACGGCGGCACACACAATCCACAGCAAGGTCTGCAGGAAGGCCGCCCCCGAGGGGCGCAGGACGCCCAGCCGCCTGCCTGCGCCCGGGGCGAGGAGCATAGTGGACCGGATCCGGGGACGGCGGGCTCCGGCGCGGCCCCTTCCCCGTTTCCTGCCCGGGTCCCGGTGGGCAGAGCCCGCAGGTCCTCGCCGCCGCCGGGCTGGGCCGCGCTCGGCAGCCCGAGCCACGCAGGCAGGTCAGCGGCGGCCCGCGGTCACCCCCGCCGCCGAGCGCCGGCCCGGCCCGCGCCCGTCCCCCGCGCCGCCCGCCCGCCCGCGCCTCCGCCGGCTCCTGCGGAAGGGCCGCGGCGCGTCCCCGGAACGTCCCATCTGCATGGCCCCGCCCCTGTCTTCCCGCCGGTCCGCGGCGCCGGCGGGCGGGGGCGCGCGCGCACACTGCCTCGCGCCCGCACATGCAGCTGCACGCACGCGAGCACGCAGATCTCACACGCAGACACACACCTCACACACAGACACACACAGACACACACACAGCCAGGCACAGGCGCGCGCGCGCGCACACACAGGCACCACATACACATCTGTGCGCGCGCACACACAGGCACACACACATCTGCACAGCAGCTCACACACAGCCAGGCTCAGGCGCGCGCGCACACACACACAGGCACACACACACATCTGAGCGCGCGCGCACGCACACGCGCACACACAGGCACACACACAGGCACACACACACATCTGTGCGCGCGCGCGCACACACGCACACGCGCACACACACACGCACACGCGCACACACACGCACACGCGCGCGCACAGGCACAGGCACAGGCACAGGCACTGACTGGCACAGTAGGACGCCCACGGCCGAGCACACGTGTCTAGGAGCTGCTGGGGGAGCCTCCACTGCTCCTTGGAGGCGGCAGGGCTGGGGGGGGAGGGGGGTACCGGGCGGGAGGGGCTCTGAGCAGACCTCCACCCCCCCTTCCAGCCCGCAGGCTGGTCCCTGCGCCGGACGCCGGGCCCTGGGAAGCGGCGCCCCTCCTGGCGGGACCTCAGGCGCCAGGGGGCCCTGCTGGTCCTGGAGCCCAGTCCCGTCCAGCGGCTGGAAGGTGGGATGAGCTTGGGATGCAGGGTAGGCAAGTCGTAGCGTCCAAACTTTCGTGGGGTCTAAGGATGGAGCCTGTGGCCCCTGTCCCGGAATCCCCCCCACTATCGCCACGCCCGGCCCGGGCCCAGGGCTGGGACCCAGAGAGGAGCAAATGCTCACTCTGAGGCTCCGCCGGTGCACACACCTGCGCGCTGGGGTCCGGGGAGGTCCTGGTGCTCCCCTCGGGTGCGGAGGGGTGAGCTGGGAGGGGGCGGAGCCGAGGCCGGTGGAGGGGTGCGGGGAGGGGCTGCGGAGTGGGGGGACTGGTGCTGCGGGGCTCCCTTAGGGTCTGGGAAGGGTTGCCAGGGGCGGCGGGGGCTGGGAGAGCGCTGTCCTGGGGGGAAGTCCCCCTTCAGGGCGGAACTTCAGGGGCTGCCCATAGGCCTGGACCCGCAGCCGGCAGCCGGCAGCCGGCAGCGGGCAGGTGGGGGCTGCTGGAGCTGTGTGTGTGTGTGGGGGGGGGGGGGGGGACGGCAGATTTGTTTGGGGCCAGGCCCCCAGGTGCTGGGCCTGGGCAGCCACAGAGTGGCGCTGGGGGGAAGGCGGTGGGGATACAGTGGCTCCCGAGCCGCAGGGACAGTGAGGCAGACAGAGGCCTGGGCTGTCAGGCCCAGGGAAGCCCCTCAGAGCTGCAGGCTGGGTCAGCAGTGGGAAAACGCCTCCAGAGATTGCATTGCAAGGCAACAATTTATGTCCTAAAGAGAAATATGAAAAAGCTGGGGATGGGACTTGGCAGCCACGGCTTTAACATCTGCGGGGCCGCGGGCCGCCCAGTCTGACCCCGCTCTGGCCACCTTTCCGTCCGCTCAGCCCGCGGTCCTCTGGACGAAGAAGCCCTGACCCGCCCGGACGTCACATTCAGCTCCGCGGCAGCTCCTTCCCTTGTCTCCGGGGTGGCTTTGTCAAGGGAGGGCAGACTCAGCCGCTTTCTGTCCCGAGGGCAGTGCAGTCCGCTCCGTGGTGTCCCTGAGCCGCCAGCTCTGCCTGGAGTGTGCAGCCACAGGTGAGACAGCTGCAGGAAAACACAGTTACAGGCAGCCCGGACACATGGCCTCTGCAGAGACTCACATACATGCCGCCCTGTGTACGTGGAGTAAAGTGTGGGCAGAGCATTCGTCCACCAATGAGGAATCCACCAAGAGTGAAATGAGGGCGAAGAGATACAAAGAAATGCATTCGCCTGCACACTGCCCAGTGAGGGCAGCCGGCAGTGTGCACCTTGTGCGGAAGCTGGAGCATGTGGAGGGAAGCTCAGCTCCTCCTGACCCAGCTGCACGGAGGGAGGCAGCGGATGGAGGAGATGCAGACAGGAGCAGCCCAGTGCTGAGAGAGCGAGGGCAGGAGACTTGACTTGACGGGAAATGAGTGCAGGGTGCGGGCGCCTTCAGCAGGAGGCTTCCCAGCGCAGCGCCTGTCAGTCAGAGCCCCTCACGCCAGCCCAGAGCAGAGGCTGCAATAGGCCTGGAGCAGTGCTGTGGAGGAGGGATGCTGGGAGGGGCTTGCCAGGAATTATTGATGGAATAGGCAAACAAGGGTTGATTGAGACAGGCTCCGTGTCCACATCATGCTAGCCTAGTCCCGGAACGGGAGAGAGAGCGGGGAAAGGGCCTGCACCCCGAGGGGCCCGGGGACCTGTGCTTTGCAGGAGCCTCTCTGAAGGAAATGAAAGTAGGGAATCCTAAATTCAAGAAATAAGTGGAAAGTAATAATGGTAGTTTTTTACAAACATTATTAAATTCATTTGTCTTCATTTAGTGAGCAATGAATGTGTCAATAAATGTTCAAGGTTCTAGAAACACTAACAGAAATAAAATTCCGAGAGAGAGCATGCCCTGTGGAAAGGACTCGGGTAATTACATGTGCAGATTCATAGGACGGAGTGGTGGCTCCCAGGCCCATGGAGGAAGCAGCGTTCTCGGGGGGTGTCTTGAAGAGAGTGGAGACCCCCAGTGGGCCAGAAACCCCAGCGGTTCCAGGTGCTCGATGGAGGGGGCAGACACACCGCCGTGCCTGGGCCCACAGATGCGCTGCGTGGCTCCCCGGGACCGGGCACTGGAGACCAAGGTGTGGACAGCCAGGACGAGGGCACAGGGGCACTGTGTGCAGAGTCCCCTGCGCCACGCAGGTCTGCGACTTCCCCTACAGCACGCATGTCTGACTGTGCTCACAGGCCGCACTCGGCCCACAATGAATATATTTGTGGCCCAGTCAATATAACGGTATATAAGAAATGTCTTAATAAAAATTTCATAACTTGCCCTAGCCGGCTTGGCTCAGTGGATAGATGGAGAGCATGAGCCTGTGGATTGAAGGGACCCAGGTTCCATTCCAGCCAAATGCACATCCCTGGGTTTCGGACTTGATCCCCAGTGGGGGATGTGCAGGAGGCAGCCCATCATTGATTCTCTCATCATTGATGTTTCTATCTCTCGCTCCTTCTCCCTTCTTCTCTGTAATCAATAAAGAAATTATTTTTTTAATTTCATAGCTTAATTTTTACAATGTCCTGTTATACATAATTATTAATAACAAACTACAACATTTGTTAATGACTGATGACTATAATTGTGTTGCATTCATTTCCCTTACACACCATTTCTCTCCACTAATACCAGCAGCGAATATTTTAGCAGCCAATGGCCACGTCATTAGTCTTGGACTGACTTGTTTGGGTAGCGCAACAGGAAATATTTCACTTTCAGAGAACAAGAAAAATAGGTTTATTTGCATATGCTTATTAATTTGTGCAGTTATTCAGTGTCTGGTAAGTGAATGTTCAAGAAAAATATTAATTTTTATTAAAATGTTCTGTTATTTTATGTGAACGATGACTCATTTGTTTCAGCCCTTTGCATTCAGCACATCTCTATTGGAATAAACCTACGTTTCTATGAAAATTGAGTTTTTGTTTGTTTGCGGCCACACACACCTCTCCCTTGTTCATTTGGCCCGGGTTCGCCTGTGAGTGTGACTGCTTGTCCTACAGGATTCTAGGGAGAAGACCAATGACTCAGGACCCCTTTGTTGTGTATTTTCCAGCTCCAGAAAGAGCGCCTTCTAGAAGCTCTGGGGTGTTTCATTTCCTGTTGTATCTACTGTCTTTGCAGACCTTCCATCTGTGCTAATCCAGTCAACCTGACGCAACCCCCCTCCCCTGCCCCCCAGACTCGGCTGGTACCTGTGCACAGGCAACCCCTGCCTTTGTCATCCACCTCCAGGTTGTCAGTCGGTCTCGTCTTTTAGGGGCAGAATTAGGAAGGTCCTATTCTTGGTCTCAGTGGGGTGAGCTTCTGTGGGTGGCCCAGCAGACATCACACTCCCTACGGAGGCCGATGGACTCCCTCCTCTCAGCTCTGGGCTCTGCCCTGTGCGCTCCCGCCTTTCTTCTCACAACTTGCAAAGCAAATGGTGACGCAGAGTTCCGGGTGAGTGGCAGGTCAGCGAGTGGAGGGATTGTGACAACTTAATTTTGGAGGGAGATAACATTACAATTGTCACTGGACCAGACAGCGTAATAACAGAGCCTTGGGAATGAGGCCACAGCTTGGAAGCCACATAAACGTTCTTCCTCCACCACGTCCTCGGGGCCTCGGGCCCGGCTGGCGCCACCGGAGCTGGCGGCGTTGGGAAGTGGGCGCACCTGGGAACAGCCGGAGCCGCGGCGTCTCGCAGGCCTGCGCGGAGCAGGGGCTGAGCCCAGTGGACAGTCACCTGGAGCCTGCGAGTAAGGGCACTCCCGGGGTCCTGTCAGGAATGCTGACTCCCTGGCTCCCTGGGACCGGGCCCACACACAGGGGAGAGGCGGCCTCCCCTGACAAAGGTACCTTCGCTGGTGTCCGGCCTGGACTGACACTCTCTGCACCTCCAGATCTGAGTGTCACTCGCATATTTGACTTTCTATTCATTTCCTTGTCCACCATTGCTCCCTGGACACCCACCGACTGTGTAG